AATATAATATAATATAATATAATATAATATAATATAATATAATCTGGCAGAGATCATCTGGAAAAGTCAGATCTAACATTCAAAATATTAGCATTAAAAAAATAAGAGCATTATTTCTTTTTGAAAGATGTCTCATGCTCACCAAGGCTGCATTTATTTAATTAAAAGTATAGAAAAAACAGTAATATTGTGAAATATTATTACGGTACATTAAAAAACAGTTTTCAATGTTATTATATTTTAAAATGTAATTCATTCCTGTAATGGTAAAAATTCAGCATCATTACCCCAGTCTTCAGTGTCACACAAATCAGAAATCATTCTAATATGCTGATTTGCTGCTCAAAAACATTTATTATTATTATTATCAATGGTGAAAACGGTTGTACTGCTCAATATTTCTGTGGAAACTGCAAAAGACAGCATTTATTTTAAATGGATTTTTTCAGTTGCATTAATTGGGTTTTTACTGTCACTTTGGATCAATTTAATCTGTCCTTAATGAATACAAATATTAATTTCTTTCATAAAAGAACCCCAAATTTACGAATGGTGGCATGTTTTTGTACACAGATTTGGAAAAGAGTGACCTCTGACCTCTTTAATGGAAAGCAGCTCCTTCTTCATCAACATGGTTTCCCTCTTCTGTTTGTTGGTCTGGCTCTTAGCTTGAGACAGCTCAGAATGGAGCTCACACACCTGCTCGGTGAAGCCCTGTTTGCTCCTCTGCTCCCTCTGCAACTGCAGATCCAAAGCCTGGATCCTCTGATGGAGCTCTGCTTTTTCCTTTACAGACATAGACAGAAAGGTCAGCGTTTATACCATATCACATCTAAAACAGTGCTTCTGAACTGGAGGACTGCGACCCAGAAAAGGTCAAGGACAGCAGGGGCAATCAATGCTAAAATCAAGTACTACAATGTGTTCGATAAATACAATTTTGTCTGATAAAACTGTTGATATTGTGTTAGGTCATAGCTTAATATGAAATGTGATGTCAGACCTGGACAAGACGGTCTTTGTCCATTAAAGCTCCGGATAGTTTGACCTTTAAGTCATTCAGATTGTCTTCTAGTCTCCGGGTTTTAGTGGAAAACATGTCTTTTTCCTAATGAAAGGAGATAATAGTTTTTCTGGCAGTAATGGATGTAATAATGAAAAATTAGAGAGTGTAGCATAGTTTTTTGCTCATACCAGCTCCATTTGTCCCAGACGGCTGCGGGACTCATTCAGCTGGTCCTCTAGCTCTTTCTGGGTCTGGATGGAGCTGCTCAGTCTTTGTTCCAACTCTTCTGCTTGGTTAATTGCCTCATGTTTCCTCTGTGTAAATGTTTGCGCACTTTTTAAATCTAAACTTAGCAAAATCTCAGCTTAATTTTTGTGCATTAAATGTAACTTTAATCCCAATGAGTAAACTTTTAAAGGAACAGTTCACCCCAAAATTTTAATTCTGCCATCGATTACTTATTTTTTATGTTGTTCCAGACCTGTATGACTTTCATTCTTTTGTAGAACACAAAAGAACATTTTTGAAGAATGTTTGGTAACACTTTACTTAAAGCCTTTATGTATAATGCATTATAAATGTAGTTTTAATGCATTACCTTATAATGCATTGTACAGTCTCATAAATAATTATAACCACAGTTAATACATTATAGCACTTATCAATTCATTGTTACACTACACATTTTAAATTAGGTTATAATTATTTACGACAAGATATAATGTATTACAACGAATAATCATAATGCATTATAGCCTTTAATAACCATTTATAATGCATTGTACATAAAGGCTTTAAGTAAAGTGTTACCGAATGTTTTTCTTGACTTAAAAGTAATTTTAGTATTATTAACTATATTTATTTTTATGTTTTCATTTTAATTCTAGGTTGTTGTTGTTTTAGTAATTTTGTTATGTGTTTTTGTCATTCTTATTAGTATTTTTTATGTTGCTATTCTGTATTATTATTTTAGCTTTAAATGTTTATTTATTTCCACTTTTAGTGCTTCAGTTTAAACTTATTTCAGTTAGTTGCCAAGGCAACATTTCTAATTTTCATTTAGTTTATAGTTTGTATTTTACTTTATTTATATCTTTTTTAATAATTTTAGTTATAGTTGACAGTAATAGCCTCGTTTTTGGACTCTTCCTTTGACTTCCACTGTATAGACTCATTCAAAATCTTCCTTCGCGTTTCATGTAAGAAAGTCATAGAGGTTTGAACAAACATGAGGGTGAGTAAATAAATAATGACAAAATGTTAATTTTTGGGTGAAAAAAAAAAATCGAATCAGTGTTTAACCTCTTCAGAGGAGTGGAGCTGTCTCAGTGCGCTGTCTTTCTCGTACTCCAGGTCTTCTGTTCTCTCCTCTGCTTTTCTGAGAGCTTCTCTGAGCTTCTTTATCTCTTTCTCAACCTGCCTCTGTCCCTGGTGGAAGCAGCAGCATGCAGTACAAAACCTTCTTAATAGACTGAAAGTATCAGAGATGAAGGTTTCTCACGTACGTTTGCAGACATTTTTTGTCACACACACAGTGTGCTCTACCTCTCTGAGGGTTTGGTCTTTTGCAGCGGGCAGAGTTCTGCTGAGAGGGTTTGGTGATGTGGGTGGACTTCTTCTCTCCAGGTTAGACCTCATCTTCAAAATGTCCAACTCAAGCTGCAGAACTCTTTGTTTACACGGAGTGAATCAACATATCAAATCAAGACAGAAATGAAATGTGTAAAAGTGTGTCTGTTTTGCTTTTTTCAAATGTTATGGATAATTTTTTCATTGTAAATTACATTGTTGACAGCAATTTGAGCACAATAATAATTCAAAATGAGCATTAATTTCTGATTCTTAGTATTTGGTTTGCTCCTGATCTCCAGTCTGATTTGAGTTGATCCAAATAGCATCTTATGCTTCAGTGGATGCAAGAATATCTGATCATCTGTACAAAGGTGTCACATGATCAATAGCACTAATGTGTGACTTAGAAATAGTGCAAAATTCTCAATATTTATTTGCATTAAACAAAGTGTAAAAAATCTTTAAAAAAAAAAAGTGTTTATTTTCAGGGGAAAGAAATAGAGTGATATTAGACTTTTGGACCCCACTGTATGATACCATTCAAAGATTTGGGGTCAGTAAGATTTTTTTCTTAAAGAAATTAATACTTTTATCCAGCAAAGACGCCTTCAACAGTTCAAAGTGACACTATTTATAATGTTACAGTAGAGTTCTATTTTAAATAAATGCTGTTCTTTTGAAATGTCTGCTCAGCAAAGAATATTGAAAAAACATATAAATATTGAACATTCAGCTTTGCATGACAGGAATAAATTACATTATAAACTATATTCAAATAGAAAACCTTTATTTTAAATCATAATAATATTTCAGAACATTGATGTTTTACTGTATTTTTGATCAAATAAATGAAGAAATGCAGCATTGGTGAGCATAAGAGACTTTTCCAAATACAAACCTTTTTACCGACCCCAGAACTTTTGAATGGTAATGTATGTATGCATAAATGAAATACTGTAAAGTTCTAAGTAGCAGTGTGTCCTTGGAAAAAAAGAAATTATTGTATGTTGATTAAATGTTAATTGTTTAAACTAACATTAATGTACTTGTCACATAGAGTATAGTCTCAGCCTCAGACGTCACGCCCACGGACCGTTGGCTAAACGTCTGATGCATAATGGCACACAAAAGTGGAAACACTTCAGGAGTTTCGAAGTCGTCGTCGGATTGGTTGAATTATACAGGATTTCCGGTAGACGTGCGTGTCACATTCTTTAACGTTCAACAAAGATGCCCCCTCACGAAAGAAGAAAGCCGTCGTGTTTACAACTGTGACGACGAGCGCTTATCAGGATCAACAAAATGCTGGATTTTCAAAAGTATGTGAAATATTTAAAGTTCGCGGCATAGAATCTTTAAAATACGTCCGAGAGTTTTACACACCGGTCTGTTATTGTGGCGACATTTCCACGCCCCGAAATGTGACGATGAACGAAACAAACTGTGATTGGTTGTTTGACATGTCGGTCAAACGACCTCATGGGCGGGCCTTGGCCAATGAAAGCTGCCATGAATTCCAGGTCTGGCTACGCGACACTACATAGAGTATGGCCAATATAACTCACTTGTCATGTAATTCCCCTCGACGGCGGCTTTCCTCAAATCGGCTCAGCTCTGCAGCTTCCTTGTCTTGTTCAAGAGCACTCACTGCTTCAGACAGCTGCTGTGGGGGAGGAAGATCAACAGCGATGAGGGTTCCTTGTAAACAACAGCACACTTTGATATCCCTGTCCTGTTTACTGTCCCATCAAACCAATATCAAACTAAACCAATCGTAAAATTCTGTGTCTGTAGAGCTCAAACTGCTTCAACCATACCTTGTGCTTCATCTCTAGGACATTTGAGATGCTCTGGCTTTGTTGAAGCTGAGATCCTTTGGTTTTCAGAAGGTCTGTCTGGGCATCCAGGTGACCTCTGGCCTCTCGGAGCCTCTGGATGAGCTCTGCTCTCCTCATGCTGCTTTCCTCCAGAGCAGCTCTGAGCTCAAAGTCTTCAGCAGAAGAGTGTGATCGCGGAGCTCCTTCTGGAGCCAGACGGGATGCAGATGACCATCTCGTCATGCCCAGGGAGCCCCTGTGGTTCTGGCTGCCAAGAGTGCTGGTTTAGAGACATGTCAATGTTTTTATCATTCATCAGCTGGAAAAAATCATTTTGAAAGTGATTCATCATTCCAGTGATATTGTTCCTCTGTGATATTATCATTGTGGTGTGTGGACTTCACTATTCTCATAGAATTAAAATGATTATTAAAACTTTATATTGTTATAATTTCCTTGAAATTCCTCACCTTCAGGCCATCCAAGATGTTGATGAGTTTGTTTCTTCATCAGAACAAATTTAGAGAAATTTAGCATTACATCACTTGCTCACCAATGGAGTGAATGGGTGCCGTCAGAATGAGAGTCCAAGCAGCTGATAAAAACATCACAATAATCCACACGACTCCAGTCCATCAATTAACATCTTGTAAAGTGAAAAGATGCATATTTGTAAAAAAACAAATTCATCATTAACTGGCCAAAATACCAGTCCATAATCCATAATAACATTTCCTCCAGTGAAAAAGTAAATCCTCTGTTGTTCTCCCACATCAAAATCCACCCACATATTTGTTTAGAACTCTTTTCACTTGTAAACGTTGATTGATCTGTGCATATTTCTATTCTGCTTCAGACGAAACGATTTTTCCCTGGAGAAATTAATGTTATGAATAGAGGACTTGTATTTTGGTCCGAAGTTAAAAACGTCTTAATGGTGGATTTGTTTCTTACAAACATGCACCTTTTCAATTCAAGACATTAACTGATGGACTGGAGTCGTGTGAATTACTCGTGGATTATTGTGATGTTTTTATCAGCTGTTTGGACTCTCATTCTGACGGCACCCATTCACTACAAAGGATCCATTAGTGTGCAAGTGATGTAATGCTAAATTTCTTCAAATCTGTGAAGAAACAAACTCTACATTTTGGATGGCCTGAGGGTGAGTACATTTATTAGTACATTTTCATTTTTTGGGTGAACTATTCCTTCAAAGAACTAACCTGGTGCTGATTTTTGAGCGGTCAGTCAATCCAGATAAGCCTACACAACTCCATGCAGGAGATTTCTGAAAAGAAGCGTCATATTTGTTAAAATTTGGTAAAAGATTATTTTAAAAAATAATTTGTTTTGATCCTCAGAGCTTCACTTTGTACATACCCGAGCTTTAAGAAGAGATCTACTATCCCAAAAGTCAAGATCCGAGAGAGCGAGGGGACTTTGAGACCTAAGAGTGCGCCAGAAAGATGTACGGCCCGGGTCAGCGTCCCATTCCTGCTCACTCCAGAATCCTGAAGGTGAAAGGCTTCTTCTTTCTCCTCTCCACTTGGCCATATCCAAAAGTGAGTTGAGATACTGTGTACTCAGCTGCAGATTGTCCTGCCCTTATACAAAACTATTTCACACGGACCAGACAGTTTGAACCTAGCATGCCAGAGTGGCACAACAACATGGAAACAATGTCTAATGTTTATTTGTTGTTTGAATCTTTTTAAACTTAGTTACTTGATAATCAAGCAGTATCTGTGGCAGAGGGGGCTTTGTAGCATTTGTTCTTTTATAATATGCATAATATTAAGAGTAAACATTCATAGTACTATTAATTGAGATAAATTTGTCACTAATGCTGTCTATTATTAATTTAGAAGTACATAATCACCAAAACCATATAACGTACCTTTTGTATCCTTGGTGATGGTTGTTTTTCCTCCTTGTGTTTTGATTTCACACACACTCAGTACTTGACACTCAGTCAGTTTCCTTATTGAGCAGGCAGTGCTGTTGAACCAGAAGCCTTGGCAGCAGGTATCTATGGTGACTGTCATATACAGGACGCAGCCCACCTCTTCACTGAATAATCATTTTGTGAGCTCACGGGACTATTTCTGGAAGGTATGATTACAATGATGAAGATTTAACATGTACCTGCCAGAAGACAGTAACCAGTCAATAACAACCATGACATCAAATGTTCCATGACAATTAAAATAATCTATTTATTTTTATTTAGCTATTTCATTTTAATTGATCATTAATAATTGATCATTAATAATCATATATATATATATATATATATATATTCTCATTATTTAAAATGATTTGAAATGACTTAAGGTCGGTGCATATTTAAAGTAAATGTATTTCTTGAAGTACACGTGTACATTCCCATATGAATGTGGTAATATCGTGGTATATATCAAATGACCATGATAATTACACCCCCAGCTTTTTAATTTAAACGAGTACATTTTAAATGTTCTTACCATGCTAACATGTTCCAAAAGAGTGATGATAACTGGCAAATATATCATCATATTACTATTACTTTTGTTATTGATTCCTGGTAAGCTTTTTGTAGGATGTTTTTTCCCCTTGTTAATGTATTTACAAAAAGAAAATTTACAAAGTTCAAAATTAAAGTTTATATCTTCGTGACGTTGCAGACGTGCCAAGCCGGTCTGCGCATGCGTGACAGACATGTGGAAGAAACGTAAATAGTAGGAACAGGAGGGAATTTGACTCGTTTAAGCATCGCAGACATGTACAGAGGAATAATCCTGTGTTTCCGCGATCAGGGCACTTTAAACCCATTTCAAAGAGGAACGTGTTGTTTAATGCGTCGTGATACGTGAGAAGCGTCAGATCAGAGGATGATATAAAGAACTTCATTATAGACAACAGAAATAGTGAGCTCCCAAAGCTTAACCCCAGAGATTTCTTTAAGACTCTTCACCCCCACCTGCCGGTTCTGGACGGAGAAACCTGAATTATGGCCTTTCCCTGATCCGCACTGGGCAATATATTGGCCCGGTGGACAGGCGCTGGCTAGGTAACAAATCACTAATAATAATAAACGCTACGGTAGATTTTAGGTTAGTTACTGTAAGATACGTTCAGTCTACCTGCGTTATTGTGTCGTTTTTATTAATGATGCAGTTCTGAGTGGACTGTTTTCTCAGGTATCTGTTAAATAACCCCGAGGTGTCTGGAGGCAGAAAGGTGCTGGATCTCGGCTGTGGTTGTGGAGCATCAGCCATTGCTGCCAAACTCACTGGAGCTTCCCGTGTTGTTGCCAATGACATTGATCCAAGTGAGACCTGTGTTCCTGCTGCACCTCATAACTGAGAATAACTGTGATTTGTACAATTCAACTTGACGAGTAAACTAAACGTCCTTATAGATCTACTTTCTTGCAGAGTTTATCAAAAACATGGTGGCCAAAATTACTAGAATACTAGTATTTTCACCAGCTAAAAATGGTTTTAAGTCAGTGAAAATCTATTTATGACATTTTTTGACGGCATCCTCATTTTACAGCATTTTTACACAAGTGCCTACAACTTTTAACCGACTACTGTTGCTTTGCAGGTAGGTTTCTTGAAGCATCTTGGAGACGTTTCCACAGTTCTTCTGGATTTAGTCTGTCTCAGTTTGTTCTGTTTCTTCATGTCATTCCAGACAGACTGATGATGATAAAATCAGATCTGGCTGTTGTCAGACAAAATTCTCACTGGATTATTACAATTAATGGCAAAATGAATGTTTGGAAATGTAAACTGATGTTTCCTACGGATACACTACAGCAAAAGATTCAAATAACTGGCTTTAGCTGGTGATAATATTCACATTGATTATTTATAATCAATTTAATGTTTTTAACAAAAATAATTCATTTAAACATTGATTTAATAGAAAACTGTCCATTAAGGTGTATCCATTAAGTAAAAAATACTAAAAGAATACTTGTACTTTGAACACACATAAATGATGTGCCACTTAATCATGAAATTTTCAAACACACAAATAATAATAATAATAAGAAAATCAAATTTTTAAATAACATTTACATGGTTATAAGTGTCTAAAGCAGGGTTATTATAGTTAACTAAAACTAAACCCATAAAAAAAGTTAAAATAAAATAAAAGTTAAATGAAATAAAATAAAAGCTATATATAAAACCTTTTTATTTATAAAACTGACTAGACACGTATAGTTGTGGGGGGGGGGCCTAATGGTTAGAGAGTCGGACTCGTACCCCAAAGGTTGCGGGTTGTTCACTGCTGTGTGTGTGCACTTTGGATGGGTAAATGCAGAGCACTAATTCCGAGTATGGGTCACCATACTTGGCCACATGTCACATGTTATAATATTAAACATAAGTGCTTCGTTTTGTTATTACAGTTGCTGCCATTGCCACAAAAATGAACTTTGAACTGAACAATCTGGACCCTGTGTGACAGACAACATGATCGGCTCAAAACCTGATGCCTGGGACCTCATTCTTCTCGGAGACATGTTCTATGATGAAGATCTGGCTGATCGTCTGCATAAGTGGCTCCAGACATGCATAACCACACACGGAGCACAAGTGCTTATTGGTGACCCGGGACGGGCTCAGTTTGAAAGCCATGACATCAGAAGATTATTACATAAACTGGCTCACTTTGAGCTGCCCGACTCGGTCAAAGAGGAGAACTACAGACTAACAAATAGCACAGTGTGGTGCTACAACTACAAACCTGATCTATAACAGCTATAACAACATTCACGTGTTAGTATGGATGTCAATAAAACATTATTCAAGAAAATGCAAATATGTATTTTATATCATCTATCTATCTATATATATATAATTGATGCTGTTTATCATGTGTAAGTATAGTATGGATATCAATAAAACATTCAAGAAAATGCAAATATGTATTTTATATCATCTATCTATATAATTGATGCTGTTTACTGTAAGCAAACATGTTCAATGGAACATATACTAGAGCAGATTACTGCTGTTTCATACATACATTTTTATTTATTATGTATTATAGTACAGTTGAAATGTTGAAAATGAAAGGTAGGCAAACAAAACAATTTTACATAAATGTATTCTTGAATATTAAATAACATTACAATGCAATTAAATTACAATGCAAACGCTGTAAATGCTGTAAGAAATTCATTGCTTTTTATAATTTTTTCCATCAAACATTGACAATTTGTTTAATAAATTTGACAAGGATTATGCATATCTTCTTTGATGAGCGCATTACATTTATGACAATAAAGTTGATGTGCTGTAGTTGATGTACCGTCACATCAGTACACAGTCCAAGACACTTGTTGGATCTTGTTGGGACCAATAAAGTTTTGCAGCGCCTCCCTTGATTTATCTAAAAGAGACATAGATGCACTGAAACATCATTTTTGGACAACAAAATATGTGTTGCATTTTATGTCAGTGACCATGTGACTACCTGTAATCAGGGGGCATCCATGGAAATTGAAAATTCTGATGTTGGCGCAGTTTGCAAGAACAGTAGTCACAGCCACGTCAGTCAAATTGCGACATCGTATCATCTGTAACTCCTGTAACAGTAAATAATTTATTAAAAATAATAATAATACAATATTAAAATGGTCTTAATGAAGAATGTAAAATCTGTATGCAATACCTTTAAGCAGTGTGAACAAACTCCAGTTGCAAGTCCAATGACCCCTTGATCAGTTACCTTTAAATAGTGTGAATGTACAAGTAGTTAAGTATTTGGTCAAGTGTGTACAAAATGTTTGAAAGGATTTAGAGCAGCACTATGATTTTGGTATATACACTACCAGTCACAAATTTGGAATAAGATTTTTAATGTTTTTGAAATAACACTCATCAAGGTGGCATTTATTTGACCAAAAATACAATAAAAACAGTAATATTGAAAAATATTATTACAATTTAAAATAACTGATTTATATTTGAACATATTTTAAAATGTCATTTATTCCTGTGATGCAAAGCTGAATTTTCAGTGTCATTACTCCAGTTTTCAGTGTCACATGATCCTTCAGAAATCATTCTAATATGCTGATTTGGAGAGAGTTTTTTTTATTTTTTTTACATTTTAAAAATCCTAATTATTCCAGACGTTTGACTGGGTAGTGTCCAAAAAGTCTGAAAGCCCAACAACGGTGTAAAATGACCTCTGTCCCAGAGAAGTAAATGCTGTGCAGCACCCTGCAGTTCTCTCCCAGCTCCAGCAGGGCTCTGTCACTGAGAGCAGCGCAGCCACGCAGGGAAATCACTTCCAAACATTTGCAGTGTCGCGCCAGAGCCTGAACCCCTGAGTCTGTCACAGCCGTGCAGCCCGTCAGATCAACGACCTGAAGATAAGGGCACCGGGATGCCAGCACCTCTAGACCTGAGGGGAAGAGAAATACAGCAACGGTTGATGTCTTGAACAATTTCATTTGAGCAATAGTGCAATCAGATTTCAATTTACAGTTTCGGTGTTACTTTCCAAGATCGATAATAAAGAGGACCTGACATTTGCTTTCTGAGTTATTA